ACCATTAAGTGTGTTAGCTGTAGGTTTTGTCAGGATATTCTTTATTAATTGAAAGAAGTTTCCCCCTCTCTCCCTAATTTTACTGTGGTTTCTATTTTCCGTACTGGAGATTATAACTCAGGGCCTTGTGCTTGACTAGGCAAGTGTCTACCATAAGCCACTCCGTCCAGCCCAAGAATTTTGCCAGTATCTTACAAGAGATGTTGGGTCTCCAGTTTTTCTTTAAGTTAGTATCTTTGGTGATTGCTTATACAGTAATGGTGGCCCTTTAGATGAGACAAGAAATTGAACTCCTTTGGTTCTTGAAAGTAAATGCTGGTGGTTTAGGTAAGTATCCCCCAACCAAAGGCCAATGTATTTCAAGGCTTGTCCCAGCCCTGGGCACTGGTGGGAAAGTGTAGGGTCTACAGGAGGTCTCAGGCTCCATAGGGGTGTTACCCTTAACGGGATAACTTAGACTGTAGGTCCCTTTCCTTTTCCTTTCTTTCATTCCTGGCCATGTGGCCAATTGGGACTGTTGCCATGCATTCCCACCATCGTGTACTGGCTTTCTGGCCGCAGGTTAAAAAAGCAACAGAAGTCATTGATATGGACAGAAACACCAAGACCATTAAGCCAAAATAAACCTTTTTCCCCCTTTTTTAGGGCCTGAACTTCTCTCAGGTATTTGTTATAGTAACTGAAAGTTATCTAATTCAGTAAATGTTTATGGAGAACCCCCCCCCATGAACCCATTTGGACTGAGTTATTTTGCAAAAGTTATTAAATTACCAATTTAATTTCTTTAATAGATAACAGGCTGCTCGATTGTTTTATTCTTGTGTGAGTTTTTCTTCAGGTTTGGTCTTTCAAGTATTTTCCATTTCATGTAGGTTATCCCATGTGTTGGGCTTTAGAAGTGTCCAGGCATCCTTATTACCTGTGTAATGTCTACACTGGTCAATGATTGCTTCCTTTGTCAGTTTTGATAGTTAATTTTGCATCTTTTCTCTTTTTTCACTCAACCTGGCCAGAGGCTGATTAATTTATTGGGAGTTTCCAAGATGTTAATTTGGTTTCATTTCATTTTCTCTACGAATTTTCCTAGTTTCGATTTTCATTATTTCTGTTCTAAGTTTTTTTCTTTTCTTCTGTTTTACTTTAGATTTTTAATCTGCTCCTCTTCTATTCCTAACAACAGAAGCATAGAGGAATAAGGTTTAGACCTATGTCCTTCTCTAGATATATGCAGCCAATACTATAAATTTCCCACAAAGACTTCTTTTTTTGCATCAAAAAAAATGTTGGTAAATTGTTTTGAGTTTTATTTTCAAAAATTATTTTTAGATTCTTCTTGGGATTTTCTTCTTTGAGCATAATTATTTTATTGAGTTATTTGTTTAATTCTAAGTATTTTAAAGCTATTCTTTCTGTTATTGATTTCTAGTTAATTTCCATTTGTGTCTGAGGAGCAGATATTATAAAGATTTCTGTTTTTTTCAAGTGATGGTTTATTGCCATAGTTTAGGGTAAGTTTTCAGATCTTGGTTAAGGCAATTTCCCCCTCGATGCTCTTTCCCAATTAGTCTTTTATGGGCTCATTCAGGTTTCTTTTTCAACAAACAATGGGAACCAGCCTGTCAACTTCATGGAATACTTACTGGGATTTTTATTTTGAGATTGCATTAAAACTTATGGAGAATTTGGAGAACTGACATGCTTTACAATGTTGGGTCTCCAATCTGAAAACATGAGTCTATCTTCAGTGATTCTTCTTTTTTATGCTTTTCACTTGATGTTCAGTTAGTTTAATTTCATATAGATAATGTACATTTCTTGTTAAGTTTTATCCCTAGGAATTGTACATATTTCCACATAATTGCTGGGAATATTAAGAAAATTCTACTGGTTTTCCTGCATTGATCTTTAGTTAGCTGCACCTCTTAGTCCATTTATGCTACTATAACAGATACCACCAGGCTGGGAATTATAATGAGGCAGAAAATTAGTTGACTCATGGTTCTTGGAAGCTTGGAAATCAATTTATCAAGGGCCCACCAATCTCGGGTGAGGGCCCTTCTTGCTGTGTGATAACAATTATGAGGAGAGAAAAAGAGAAAAAAGGCCAGGGGAAAGGGGAGACAGAGAGAAAGGGCCCAAATCCACGCTTCCATTAAGGAAACCCACTCCTGTGAAAATGCGTCAATCCTTCCAGAGGGCGGAGTCCCTCATGATGTCCACCCTCTTCCCAAAGGTCTTGTCCCTCAACCAGTGTTGCATTTGCAGATTGTTTTCTTTTGTTCCTTTTTCTTGGCTTTTCACATTTTTAGACTGAAATTAAATTCTGTATATCTGCTTTTTTTCCTTCAGTATTTATAAGGACTAGATTTTTCCATTTCGTTATTTTAAACTTTTATATTACAATATAAAACTTTTTTTTTCTTTAATCCTTTTTTATATTACAAATGTCTTCAGTAAACTGGGCATATGACAAGATTTTTGAAAAATCCAAATTGGGCTTTTCTTCCTTTAATACAGGGAATTATGTTTACACTACGACTACTGGGCATATTTATACTTAATTTTGTACTTTATGTGTTCGTATTATTATGATTTTCTTATTGTGTTCTTTTTTTCCTTTGGTCTTTTCTTGGATTTTGTGTCCTATATTTCCTAATGGTTACTCTGC